CCCGCTGGGCATGAAGTGGTTGCTGGCGTCCCACTTGGAGGTGACGTCGAAGACCTTGCCCTGGTCGGGTTTGGCCCTCAGGTCGCTGGCGTACTTGTTGCGGACGGCGTCCTTCAGGAACCTCTCCAGGAAGGTCATCGTGCGGGGCGTCACGGCGATGCGGTCGGCGTGCGGGGCTGGGCGCAGGGTGACTCCCAGCTCCCGGCGCTCCTCGGTCCAGGTCCAGGCGCAGCCGATGCGGTTCCCCAGGCGGCGCATGGCGTTGCGGGCTCGGCTCCACAGCAAGGCAAAGTCCCCGCCTATTACATCTACCCGAAGAACCTTGCCAAACTACTTAAGCCATTTTCTACTCTAGCATGGGAGTTCTTGTGCTTAAAAGTTCCTAACTCCGTGACTCGTAGTCCAGCTAAAGGTTCAACAGCTGCATATTGAGTCCAGAGAGCAGCGAGGTTCTTTGGAAGCAGTTTATGTGCAAGCTGCTGATCTTAGGTGTAGTTGGAATAGAACTGTGTTCAGGTGTAGAAGCATGAATGTTTTGCATCTGCAGAGTCTCCAAGGAGTTGCATCTTCTCAACAGCACTGTGTCTTGCTTATTGCCAGGAGTTAGTTTCTTCCCTGCCTTGATCCCATGCAATAATAACATTGTATATTGCACTTTCTGCTTTCCTTTTAGTAGTATGTATCTTTATATTAAATAAGAAAGCATGCAGTTATTGTTGTCATTTTTTAATTAAAGCATCGTGGGAAAAAGCCAGTTACTTGCACTGGGCCCAAGGCTAGTTAACAGCACAAGTCCCTGTGTCCTGCCCCTCCCCCATTCTTTCTTCAGATATGTTAAAATGACATCCTGGCTTCCTTGATCTGCTTGTCCTTGTTCTTCACAGAAGAAGAGTACTTTGGTATTCTTTAATTCATCCTCCTGTATTCTAAGTGCCTTCTCCTTTAGAAGAGAAGGTGGAAGTGATACAATTGCAGTCATCACTGAGAATGTATTAGGTTAACCATTGGGTTCTGTTTGTTCCATGGGATGATTTATTCTGTATGCTATCAGAGCATCTCCACTTATTAACCCTGACCTTCAGTTGTAAAGTAAAGAAAGGCAGTGAAAAAAAGAGATCTCAAGCATAGAAAACAAACTCTATTTTTATTGCTAAACATTAAACATTTTAAAATGTTTTCGGGGAAGAAAACAGGTTGGACACACTTAATATCTATTACTAGTGAACAAGATCCTTCTTAGAAATAACAGTGAAAAGGCTGCTGTGGCTGTTGGACCAGATTTCAACAAATTTAGGCAAGGCAAGGCAGTGCAGCTAGGATCGGTTCCAACCTCTATAGTCATATTGTAAGCTTAGAAGGAAGCTTTTACTTTTGCTGTTAGGAATTGTTGAAGACACGGGATTTTTCATTCTATGATCAAAAAGTGCCAGTTGGCTAAATTTAATGATTTATAAAATAAATGGACAGAATAGACTTTACTAGGTTATAGATAAGTGACATAGTTACTCAGATTAACTATGAATTTTAAAAGATTTTAGAAGTGAGTGATTTTTCTTAAAAGGCATGTGTATTTTATGAACAAGATTTGATTGAATGTATTCTTTAACATTGATATACACCATGCTAAATGTTCTCTAATAATTTTATCTTCTGGTTTATTTTGTTTTTTAGTTAACTACAACATTATTAATTGATATTATTATTTTCATGAGCACTGTCTACTTTTAAAGCAGAAGCTGAGGCGAAATGTGAACTTACTTGAGAAGCTGGTTATGCAGGAGACGTTGTCATGTCTGGTTGTGAATCTCTATCCAGGAAATGAGGGATATTCACTTATGCTCAGGGGAAAAAATGGCTCAGGTAATATTATTGCTACTTAACTCTTTTAATCTTCGAAGTGTTTTTGCAAACATTAATCAGTCAGCATGAGTCATATTAGCTGCTTGCATTTCATTACTTCGTATTTGCTTCTATTATAAAGTAATCTCTTCTATTATTCTACTCTGAAACTAGAAATAGAAATGTAAAAGAGCCTGATTCTGGATGCCCCCTCATAGGAATAATAAATAATAAGGAATTAACATTCTTAGAACATACAGGCTTTATTCCTCCAAACATTTATACACATACTTACCCTTATGCATCTGAGTAGTCACATTGAAGTCAGTGGGATTACTTTATTTCTGTGCTGATTAAGCAGCATACTTTACAGCTGCTGACAGTAGCGCATTTTTTTAATTATTTCCATCATTTACTGCCAGTTGATTTTTTCTTTTTAACATTGAAAAAGCCTCCCTGTGCCACTGTAAATTAGGTTTATTGAAGTCTTTTGGTGTCTATGTATATTCCAAATGAGATGGATAGGAGCTTGGTCATTTCTGCAGTAAAACAGGATCCCTGTTTAAATGGCTTGGAAATTGAATCAAAAGCATGAAAAAGGTCACTGCACAAACAAAATTGGGACTCTGGTCAGTTTTTACTAGACCAACTTTATTTTTAGTTTTTAGTTTCACTTTTTAGTTTAGTTTTCACTTGGTTTTAGTGATTTTGATAATTTATTTTTAATATGTTTTTAAAGTGGTAGTGGAAAAGGAAAAATAAAGTATTACATTCTTTGTTTAAATTCAGATTCTGAGACCATTCGACTGCCTTATGAAGAAGGAGAATTGCTTGAATATTTGGATGCAGAGGAGCTACCACCTATTTTGGTTGACCTTTTGGAAAAATCTCAGGTTTGCAAATCTTCACAGAAGGTTTATCATTTCTGATCTGATAAACACTGATAAGTTGGGTGGTTTAGAGCACCTTCAGTAAACAGTTTGCAGCATCAGGCACATAATATTTAGTGTCTAAAAAAGCTATCTTCTTGGCATCCGTAATAATTCATGTATGTTTAGGGTGTTTTGTGGTTTAGTCTGACAAAGAACATCTCAATGAAATGTTTGAGCTAAAACTTGATGAATTTAGTAAGTCAGAGCTTTTTCTTTCTTATCCTTTAGGTTTGGTTGTGCTTTTTGCACATGAAAAGGTGTCTTTTGCAATGTAATGTAGGATCTGGGTGGATAGGGGCTCACACTTGAGGGTGCCTAGTGGTGTAGAACACTGAACTGCTTCAGCCATAATAATAATTAGTAGCAAGTGATTTAACTGCACCACTCAAATTGACTTCAGCAGAAATTACACTCTTGTATTGGGGTTAAATTTTGTTTGAAGTTTTATAACTAGGACTTGCATATATGCAAATAGATACAATGTAACAAAGATAAATTATAAAATGACTGTATGTGAATGGCATGAGTGGCTTACTAGTTAAAAAGAATTTACATGCCAGTAATTGGAGGCCTAACAGCGTTCCCTCTAAGATGCGTGGTGTGCATAGCTGTGCAGGCACACTTGTGCTGCACTGCTAGGCGTGCCTGCACAGCCACGCACACTGCACAGCTTAGAGGGAATGCTGCTAGCAGTGTGGTCAGGTGCCCAGACCAGCTGCCACATGCGCTGGTGCAACTGTGTTGTTGCAGCAACAGCTGTTTTTTTTAATCCTTCCTTTTCCTCCCTCCCCAAGTCTGCCTGGGGTGGCTGACCCAGTCACCCCGCCCTAGTTATGCCACTGACAGTAACTAACTGCAAAATGCTATTAGTCCACCCAGTCTATTGCATGTATACAATTCACAAAGTAAGTATAACAACGTATATACATATTGTTATATCTATTAATATTATATATGTATACATATTATGTTTATGTATTGATCATTATAATCATGAACATAATTGATAAAATATAAAAATTTAAATGCAAATATAATATTAAAGATAAAATAGAATGTATAAGCAATAAAAGTTATATTACATTATAAATATATGTATATATCATATTTATGTTATAATGTGTTTATCTTTATACTTAAAATGTTTATATTTATATTTATTTTGAGTCTGAAAATATAGATGTGTATATATATGCACATTAACATGCACACATATACATATATTTATATATGTGTACACATATGCATTCACAATTTTTTTTTCAAATAGGTTAATATTTTTCATTGTGGGTGTGTCATAGCAGAAATTCGTGACTACAGACAGTCTGGTAACATGAAATCACCAACATACCAAAGCAAGCACATTCTTTTGCGTCCAACAATGCAAGTAAGTGCATCAAATTGAAATCTTTAATTTACCTTAAGTAGCCTTCCTTTATCCTCACTGTTTATGATACATGCAACAGTTGGTATTGGCTATCACATTTCTTTGATTTCTATTATACATTTAACATTATAGCACTTATATTCAAATAATGAAAGCTTTGTGTTTTCTTCACCAGACTTTAATATGTGATGTGCATTCTATAACCAGTGACAACCACAAATGGACACAAGTGAGTTTGGGTGTATTTTTAAATTGTTCAGTGATACAACAGATACAATAGAATAATTTAGCAAAATATGCTGTACTAAAGCACATTGTATTATGCCCTAGAATGTATTATCACCTAGAATGGTTTTGGCATTCATTATCCTAGGGAGATGCTTAGCACTTTGCAGGATCAGGTTCTTAATCCTTGTCTATGTAGTATGATAAAATTAGAATTAGTTTAATGAGTTGACTCTTCTCCCCTCCATCCTCATCAGATATAAATCGTATCTGGCATCTGAAGGGGTCATATGACACTACCCTTCTGTTTGGCAGCATTTTCTCACTTGTATTGACAGAAGAGCAAACTTGAGTACATTTTTAGTTAGCTAAAACATCAAAAGTAAAGTATGGCAAAGTGTGTGTCTTTATGTGTACATTCATATTCAAGTCAATGCATGTTATCTAGTGTTTATAATTTGTGATAAAGGAGAAACTGGCATGCCATCAAGATAGATTCTTGATAGACTAGACTATATGGTTTTATTATGTAAAAAAATACTACTTCTCAATAATGGTCTTTTTTCTTTCCTGTAGAAAAAGTAAAAGCTCCATGGTATACAATAATATATAAAGACTCATAAACTATAAGTATTATATTTTGCTGGGTTAAAGTGCAAAGCAATTTTTCTTCGAATTATTTGAGGTATTATATGTACATGCACGTATGTATACACAAAGACAATAACATGGAGATGAGCATGAAATAAAATCCCAGTCAAGTATATGAAACATCATATTTTTACTATGTGTGCACTTTCTCTACTATAGGAGGATAAACTTCTACTTGAAAGCCAGCTTATTTTAGCTACGGCAGAGCCTCTGTGTCTTGATCCTTCAATAGCAGTAACCTGCACAGCAAATAGACTCCTCTATAACAAGCAGAAGATGAATACTCGACCAATGAAACGGTAATTGTTAGTCTCTGATATATCAGGCCATGAAGAAACCTCTAGATAGCTTTAAAAAATATGAAGAAAATAGTATGTTTTATACACATTCTATACTCAAATTAATTTTTTATTAAATGGGAATTGCAGAGGTTTTAATTATATTTTTAAACAATTAAAGTTTTAATAAGGGCTCTTAGAACAAATTTCTGCTGTTTTTAAGGTTAAAAGTTTAGCACACTGGCAGTATTAATTGCTACATTTAATCTGAATATTATTGCATATGTGTTCTGTGTAATTTAGCAACCTCTTCCAACTAGAAAGTTGTGTAAGACCTAATAAGTCTTAAACTATAATAAATTTCAGTTGATAATATAAAAAAATAAAATAAATATTTAATTGTGTATGTATATATTATTATATACCATTTTATGATGAATAGCAAATTGTATTGCTACCTTACAGTCATATCTAATTTTGCCATGGCTCAGAATCAAAATGTGAGCTGAGGCAGAGAGCAGCTTTGAATAATGTTAGTATATTTATATGGTATTAAAAATGTTTTATCTTCAACATGCCTTGCATTTCTTTGCCAAAAAAAGATATGAGGGCTGCAGTTTACCTTGAGAGTAGTTCATCTCTTTAATTCTGTGACTGTGGGATGTTATTTTCACTGCCAGAATTTAGTGTATGAAACATTGAACTAGAAGTGGACAAAATCCAGCAAAAATCTGTTTTTTGTTGCTTAAATGTTTTGATAGACAAGCTTAATTTTATCTTGAAAATCAGTAGAGTTATCTGTATGTTTAAAGTTGAGTACATCCATAACTGTTTGGAGAGGGGTTAATGATTTTCCAAGCAGTGTAGCACTCAAACTGTTATACAAAATGTTAGAGTAGCTTCATTCTCACATATAGATGCATTCCCTGCTGTTTCACAGTCACCTGAAATGGTTCACAATTATTTTACTAAGAACTGTTTACTCTGTATGATGCAAAGTGTAAATCACCCATTGAAAGTAAAATAGATGTAAATATTGTTCTTGGGTACTTCAGTGTTATACTAGTGTACAATCTATGGTACTCTATAAATAAAAGTCACCAGAGACTGTAGTCCCATTATCTCTGTGGAAATCCACTGGTCTTTGGGAGAATAATGCCTCCTTTACCATCAAATGAATTTAGATGCTAGTATCAGTATGTTTGTACTAGTGGGAACTGAGTAAATTGTCTATTAAATACAGAGCAGGGTAGTGCAGTACAACTTAACTCATTCCAAAAGGCATAAGCTTTTATAGGAGACAGCCTACTTCATCAGATGCTGTGATACAGATAATCTTATCTAGGAGGAAGAGAAAATCTCATTACATCTTTACCATATTTGCTTTTTTTTAAATGTATCAGTAGTACACAGGAATTTTGGTGGGACCATAACATTTTGGTTGCATTTGAACTATTGTTAACATTCATTAAATACTTCTATCATCTCTCTCACTCTGACAATATCTGCCACAGACTTTTTCTAGTAACAATAGCATTAATGGTTTGCTTTATAATACAGTAAAAGAAATCACCTTTTTTTAAGGTATTGCCCAATATATCTTTTAGCTGCAATGTTAATGGCTTTTTCCTGTTGTATGTGTTTGCATGTACATGATAGGGTATTTCCATGGGTAGGTATTTTATGAGCTTATATCTCAATTGTTGTAGGTGCTTTAAGAGATACTCCAGGTCATCTCTGAATAGGCAGCAGGATGTGGCTCATTGTCCGACTCCACCTCAGCTGAGAATACTTGACTACTTACCTAAAAGAAAAGAAAGGAAAGGAGCCCAACAATATGATCTCAAAATTTCTAAAGCTGGAAATGTAAGTACATTCCAGGTTGGATGGGTGAATATTTAATCAGTGTTTGTATTTAATCCATTTTTGTATTTAGTCATAATATCCCTAAATACAATGCTGTGTTCTTTCTTCTCTTTGCAGTGTGTAGATATGTGGAAACAGAATCCTTGCTGCTTGACTGCTCCTTCTGAAGTGGATGTAAGTTCACTTGTTCCCAACCACATTAGTGTCAGGCAAAGAAACATGTTTGTTCAACTTTTTTTAAGTAAAAAAGGAAGATAAATGACAAAGCAGTAAGTAACGATGGTATCTGATACAAGATCATTTAAGAATGGGGGAGCTAAGACATTTTAAGAGCTTCATCTTTCATTGCTTTTATCTTCTGTTTTGAATAAAAAAATAGCAACGTACATTATCAAGTAATAGTTTAAAATGAATATGATAGTAATCTTTACAATTTTTTGCTGCACTGAAAGGTGTAAAATTCAAACTAAAGCATGGCTGACTATGTAGCATTCTGTGAATGAGTTATAAAACCCAAAGCTGCCTTCAGTTACATTACACTATTATTTAACTGTGGCAGGGGTGTCAAAGATGCAGCTCACAGGCTGGATTCCAGCCTGCAGAGCCCTGTCATCTGGCCTCAGGGTTGCCTGTAGTTCTTGAACCAGCTAGCTGCATGCAGCACACACTGCCCTTGGCCCTGGCCCCGTGTGCTGCGTGTAGCATGTGGAGCCCACCTGGCATGGCCTGCACACAGAGCATGGGCTGGATCTGGCACATGCTGCATACAGGACATGGAGCTGTCTGGGGCAATCACTGGAGTTGTGTGCAGCACCTACACCAGACTGGCCCTGCATGTTGAATCCGGGGCCAGTTTGGATCAGACCCAGAGACCAACTTACTCCTGGCACAAATGGAATGTCTGTACATGGCCTATGGAACATTTCAGTTTTTAACATTATGGCTACAACCATAATTACAATTTACAAGGTTCTAAAAACTATTCAACTGTTAATACAAAAATTTGCTAATTTGGAGATAGCGTATGCATAGTGTGCAAGATGTGGGAGAACTGTCTTACCCCATCTTTCTACAGGAGATAGGCACAGGAACATTCCTGTAGTCCTACAAGTCTGTACCACCTCAGGACCATGCCAGCAAGGGAGTTGGTGCCCTAAGGAGGGACAGTAGGGAGAAAGCCTACATGTCTTTGCTGCATCCTTTAACATGCAACATGTCTGCCATTTTCTCCTTGCCAAGTCAGCTTTGCTATCTGAGCAAAGCACAGTTTTAAGACTGTGTCAGGTATACAAGTTGTAGCCATATTGGTCTAGAGGCAAAGGTCTACCCAAGAGAACTTTTACAGTCTTTTCTGCTGTGTCTGAAGAAGGGTGTTTGTAACCAAAAGCTTGCAATTAAAGAATCTTTTTTTGCAAAAATCTAGTTGATCTAGTAAAAGATATCACCTCTACCACAAGTCCTGATTCCTTTTGCTTCTAGACCAATATGGCTACAACCTGGATACCTGACAGTCTTAACCTATATTTCCACAATTTGCCAAATGTATTTAAAGTTTATGAAAATTCCTTAGTAAAAGTATATCAGCCAAGTAAGTATCAAATCATTAAGGCTTTTCTATATACTCCTTGTTAAACATGTATTATAATATCTGCTTTTTATTTAAGGTGGAAAAATATGCCAAAGTGGAAAAGTCTATCAAACCTGATGACTCGCAACCAACTGTCTGGCCAGCACATGTGAGTAATTTAGACCTTTGGCCAAACTTTCCTTCCTTTAGTTAAGAAGGTTCTTATTTCAACAAAATTTAAATGAAATCATAAGGAACATTTTTTTTTTCTATTTAATGTTCTGTTTTCATAGAAATTTGGAAAGAAGATCATCATGGGAGATATAATTTCACACATTGGGGTGCTTTTCAACTAAAAGAAATGACTAGAAATTATTACTTACTGGAATGCAAAATAGTAAAAATAACATTGTCTAATCTTCATTTTATTATAGGGGTATAATACAGTGTGCCTTTAACCAGGCATGCAGCACCTACCTACTGGAATAATTAAGTGGCTAAATTACTATAGTTTCCTTGTACAATATCAGAAAGCCACTGATGCAGCTTGAATTTTTTAAGCAACCTGTGCTGCCAATTCAGTAGTAAAGAAAACGTAGGGTTTTACAGGGAGCCAGTAGTGTTATCTTTTGTGACAAATCTGTTCCCTTGAATATTCACTTAGGAGCTGTTTCATGAGAGCTATATTTACAGTATTATAATGGTAAATTTTAGGAGATCATGTAAAATAAAATCCTTTCTAAAGCAGATTTCTTCACAGGTATTTTTATACACTTTCTCAGTCAAACCTTAATTTACCTGCAAACTGCATGATCTGGTGCAGAGGGAATGATAAATGTAATTATAAAAAGCCCAAAATATTTTCTAATAAAATAAATGACCAGCTCTTTATCGTTAGCATTCACCACAGTGTCTTTACTTTGTTTTTCCTGACCTGTTGCTTTGGTGGTATGCTTTTCCCTGCAGTACTTAATTTAGATCTCTGTGACATCTTGTTCAGTTGTTGTTCTGTGTTATAGATAGATATTTTAAAGTATGTTTTTAAACTTGTTTAACTTAAATAACTTTTAAATATGTTTCTGTGCTGAACAATGTCAATATCAGTCATGATTATTTACATATTTTTCTGTAGTTTGTATTTTTTTAGTAATACTGATTTTTTTCCCGTCACCTCTTGTTAGTTGGAGAATTTCTTTAGTAACCTTTTTCTTTTTTTTTGCCAAGGCACAGTGAGTTTTAGGAATTACTTGAAGTGTGTTGTTCACAACGTTTTTGTAATCTCCTGACATATCTTTATCAGTTTTTTTCTATTATCTGTTGTTTTTTATATGCTTTAAGTAATAGTGTTCTTCTGTTTTTTAGGAGATAAAAGATGATTATATATTTGAATTTGAAGTTGGTAATCAACTTCAGAAAACAAAACTGACCATTTTTCAGTCTCTTGGTAATCCTCTGTACTATGGTAAAATACAGACACTCAAAGGTGATGAGGAGAATGAGAGCCTAATATCTCCATCACAGTAAGTCATATATATATTGAAAGTGTATCATTTTATGGTATTTGAGGGAAAAATAAAAAATCTAATGTTTTACGCATCAGTGTCTTCTAGTATAAAAGCAGTAAGTTGATTATTTGCTTTTGTGTGATGCATAAATTAATTTGTCACCTTCAGAATCCCACGTTCTCCCCTATTAAAATTAGGACAGAATGAAATCTCAATTTGTTGAAACAGTTGGGGACCTTTCCAAGATATTTTTTTCAATGTTATTCCTATTATTTGTACCTATGATAGAGCACTAAAAATGTGCTAGTGATGTCAAACATGTAAAAAGACATAACCTCTGATCTGAAGAACTTAACAGTCTTAAAAAACAAAACAAAAGTTAGAAGAAAAGGAGAGCACAAAGATAATTGCTGGCATGTATGTGCTCAGTTTTGCTTTTTACATTATAGCACAGCTGCCTAGTGACTCTTTGACTTATCCGGACAGAGTTAATTCCATTCTGGCCCTAATATTACAAGGTTCTTTGCATGACTCCTATTCAGTGAGACACAATGATGTGCCTGGTCACAGAAAGTAGCTAGTTTTCTTAACTGACATTATGTGTTATTGCTTCTAAGTGTGTTATCCTAGCTGTTATTTTTTAATGTTAATCATTTCAAGCTGTTATTTTTAGTTATTTTTTACCCTGGCCCCATTTGCTGATTATCTGCTTTTATCACTTCAGATAAATTGACTTAGAAAGCTAGTAGTGACTTGAGATTGTGTCCTAGGCCTGGGATTTTCAAAGAAGTCTGTGGAAGATGGGGAGCCCGTTTACTTGAAAATCCAGACCATATTGTACAGCCTCACACATCATTACTTGTGGAACTCAGGTGCCTGTAGAGTGTACACTGATGCCAGGAGCATGGGGAACAATCAGGATGAGCTAGCCTTACTACTGTCCAGTGGGCATTATGATCTAGTAAGGATTACGGAGACCTGGTGGGACTCCTCACATGATTGGAACATAGCCATCGAGGGCTACACTCTGCACAGAAGGGACCGAGTAGGGAAGAAAGTTGGAAGCGTGGCTCTCTATGTGAGGGAGCAGTACACGTCGTTGGAGGCCAACATCAGCTTCAAAGAAGAGCAGCTCAAAACCCTCTGGGTTAAACTACAGGGTGGGACAGTGAGAGAGACCTAACTGTAGGTATATACTACAGACCACCAAACCACAGGGAGGAGCTTGATCTTGAGTTCTCTCAAGTACTGGCAGAAGCCACCGGTACATGGGACATGGTCGTCATGGGTGACTTCAATTACCCAGACATCTCTTGGTAGGAACACTCAGCTAAGTCGGATTGATGGCATTGGTTTCTGACCTGTATCAAAGAGCTCTACCTGACTCAGGAAGTGCATGGGCCAACCAGAGGTACCACTCTCCTACATTTGGTCTTGGCCAAAGAAGACAATGTGGTGAACAACTTGAATATAGAGGGTAGCCTGGGCAACAGCAGCCGCAAAACCAAAGTGTTCACTGTCTGTCTCAAGGCAGGCAAATCAGCTATCAGGTTTGAAGCTTTGGACTTCAAAAAATGAATTTCAACAGGCTCAGGGCAATAGTAGGGGAAGCGCTGCAGGATAAGGGACTGAAAGTGAAAGGAGTGCATGAAGAGTGGTTGTTGTTCAAGGACACGATCCTTGAAGCACAAAAGAAGTCTATTCCTATGCGGAAGAGAGGTAGCAGAAGAGCTGGTAAGCCCTCTTGGCTTAATAGGCATATCGTGGTCCTCTTGAAAAAGAAGAAAGAGGCATACAAACAGTGGAAGGTTGAGACAGTCCCAAGGAGGACTATACAACAATGGCCCACACTTGTGGAGAGTGGATTAGAAAGGCTAATAAAGCGACTGAATTTAAAATAGCAACAGAAATCAAAGACAATAAGAAGTCCTTTAGGTATGTAGAGAACAGGAGAAGAACAAATAGAAGTGTGGGGCCATTGCTTAACTCAGGACAGCTGGTTACTGAACTCCTAAATGACTTTTGCTTCAGTATTTCACTGGACTAAGGGGAGAATCATACTAGATAAGATTCAGAATGGGCATGGTGGGAATGACTGCCTTCCTACTGTTGACATTGAGCTGGTGTGTGATCAGTTAGAAAAGTTAGACATTTATAAGTCAGCAGGACCAGATGAACTTCACCTGAGAGTGCAGAAGGAGCTGGCCAAAGTCATCACAGGACCTCTGGTGAAACTCTTCCAAAACTCATGGTGTTCAGGGGAGATCCCTGAAGACTGGAAGAGGGCCAGTGTTGTACCCATCTAAAAGAACAGGAGGAGAGAGGACCCAGGCAACTATAGGCCAATTAGCCTAGCTTCTATCCCAGGGAAAATCCTGGAAAAATTAATCAAGGAGTATATGTGCAATATGCTTATGCAAGGTAGGATTTTGAACGACATCCAGCATGGGTTTGTCGCGGGCAGGTCTTGTCTTACCGATCTCATCTCCTTTTACAACCGGGTAACTCATCACCTGGATAAGAGAGAGGAGGTTGACATTGTATACCTAGACTTCCAAAAGGCTTTTGATCTGGTATCCCATGACGTTCTCATGGGAAAATTGGAGGATTGTGGGGTTAACTGCTTGACAGTTAGGTGGGTAGGAAGCTGTCTGCAGGATGGGACCCAAGGAGTTCTAGTGAATGGATCTGTTTTGTCCTGGTGAGAAGTGGCCAGTGGTGTCCTTCAGGGATCTGTGCTTGGTTCAGTGCTTTTCAACATCTTTATCAATGATTTGGATGTGGGGGTGAAGCGCTAACTGACCAAGTTCACAGACAACACCAAGTTATGGGGGAGCATGGTCATGCTTGAAAATAGGCTGCAGATACAGGTGGACCTAGACAGGCTGGCAAGCTGAGCGGATCAGAACTAGATAAAGTTCAACACTGAGAAGTGTAAAGTGATCCATCTATGGATGAACAGTTCCCAACATACAGGCTCAGTGGCGCCAAACTGACTAGCACCATGACTGAAAGGGACCTAGGGTTAATAATAGACCATAGTATGGACACAAGCTGTCAGTGCGATGCTGTAGCCAGCAGGGCAAACAATACTCTGGCATGCATCAACCAATACATCTCAGGCAAAACTAAGGGAATGATTCTTCCGCTTTACTCATCATTGGTGAGGCTGCAGCTGGAGTACTGCGTCCAGGTCTGGGTGCTGCACTTCAACAAAGACGGAAAAACTTGAGAGAGTCCAGAGAAGAGCCACCCATACAATCAGAGACTTGCAAGGCAAGACATATGAGGAAAGGCTGAGGGACTTGGATATGTTCAGCTGTAAAAAGAGCAGGCTGAGAGAGGACTTGGTAGCAGCTTACTGCCATATCAGGTATATATCAAGGGCTCGGCAAACAACTGTTCACCAGAGCACCCTTGGGAAAAACCAGGAATAATCTCTACAAACTCCTGAAAGACCGTTTCAGGCTTAACACTAGGAAAAACTTCTTCCCCGTCAGGGTGTCCAGACTGTGGAGTAAACTCCCTCCACAGGTGGTGCAATCACCTACCCTAGAAGTCTTCAAGAGGAGACTGGACAGTCACCTTGCTGGGGGCACCTGACCCTAGTTGCCTTTCCTTCCTAGTGCAGGGGGACTGGACCCAATGATCTTGCGAGGTCCCTTCCAGCCCCTAACAATCTATGAATCTAACTCAGTGGGATTTGGCTCCCCAGTTTCCTTTGATTGCTTTGAAAATCCCAGCCTAGAAAGTCAGGGATACAATAAAAAAGTGGTAGTGGGAGTTCTCCATATTTAAAAAAAACAAAAAATTTTTGATCCATGGAAACAACCTGGATAATTCTTTTATAACCTCAATGTGTTCTCAGGGCACACTTCAGATTTAAGTGGGATGACAGGCTATCATTTGTGACAAAACATGAAGAATTTGATTTTGGAAACGTTAAATCAAAAGAAATCAAAGACTTTAAACATCTCTTAACTTTTTAGCGCATGACTTGTTTTTACATACAACTATATATCATTCTCTTATTTAATAATGGAATTCCCTAAACCCTGAGATTGTAGTCTGGTGCTGGGAAAAGCTGCGGATTGGTTGTGTTTCCCAGTTGTGCTGTAGAAAAAGACGCTAGAATACTAGAAAAAGCCACAGGCCTTGTAGTTCTTTAGTCCTTACTCTGTAAAGGTTATAATGTCCATACCAGCTTCCTAAATTGGTTTGAATTGGACCAAAGATACTACCTATAAAGAGTGTTGACATTACAACATAAATGATATTAGTGGGTTAGATTCCGTGTCATATTTGTAAAATATATGTACTTCAAAATAAATCCTACTTTACTAAGAATAGGGGTACTAAAACCTGGCAGTAACTTCCAAATAGATAGTTATGATTGTTGGAGCACTCACAGTTTTTCTGTGGAAGCAGATTGTTACATTTATTTATAAGATATACTACTAGTTTGAATATATATTTCAAACCATCACTTTATTTTTTAGATATGTAGAGGTTTGTATTTTGCCTTTTACACTACAGCAGATTGTTCTGTATTCTCAAACTGCTTTAGCTCTTCTCAGTTGACAAGAAGTATCAAAGTAGAGATTTTCTTTTTGCTATTCTTCCAGAGTTTTGCATCCTTGAGGCAAGTTCGTGAATTTCAGTTTAAAAATGAATATCTGTGTTTGACATTTTAGGTTTCCAATTGGCTCCAAGACTGATGCTGAAAGGTAAGTTAATTAGTTCGTATTTTATTTTACTTTGTTACCACTGCACCCATTTGTCCCTTTTGTCCCGAATGTATCTTAATTACATGACCCAGAAATTAATTCTGGGGGACATAATGGCAAGAAAAATAGGTAGAAACAATCTATCTGTAGGGACAGTGAGAAGCACATACACCTCGTCCCATTTGCTGGGGAAGTCCAAGGATCAGGTAATGCCTTTTGATTCACCTGACAATGAATCAGTGGTAGCATTCAGGAGTAGAATTTGATTCTGAGATTTTGTACAAGTAAATTTTCTATCAAATCTGTCTCTAAGAAGTGTTATTCTTTTGAACTTAACTTCAGTATACAGCTTCTTTTAGTAATCAGTTGAATATGCAGTGTGTTCAGACAATGTTGATTTAGCATTGTGAGAGAAGCCGTCCTTTCACTTCAGAAGTAAGAAGAATTTAGGCCTTTGTTGTATTTTAACTGTAGGAGACCTAGGGTTATTGATTGTGGTTCATTAAATGAAAACTTAAACTAAACTTTTTCTTCAAGTATGTGTTTGCATGGATCCCACTGTAGGTATAATTGCACTGCATGCATGTGAATTCAGAATCTGTTGAGTAGCTGTGTCTGGAAAGGCTGATCCTGTGCCCTGTACTTCCTTGTGCTATCGTGTGAGGGTGTAAAGTGACAGGACTGACACAACTATGCCTCATTTCCCCCATGCCATAGCAATTTTGAGTCTGTCCAACCCAGTCAGCATTTATTTAAGCATAATAGCTGTAGTAGCAGTTGATAAAGGTAGGCTGAGACCCCAGGAAAGAAGCCGTGGCAAGTTTACAACAGCAGAATTATAATCTGTGAGCAACCCTGCCATTGGACACTCCTCTAGTTCTAGTGAGCAGTGATGACCAAAAAAATTGGCAAAGTCAGCACCAGAGCCTTCAGCATCACCATCCTTAACATCTGCTTCTGGACAGAAGAAGCTGGATCCCTTCACCTCAGACACCAGAAAAATACCCTGACATGGGAAAACATTTGGATGTATTGAGCTTTTCAATGCCAACAGGTTGTATGGAACCAAGGGCTTTATGGAACTTAGCAAACAAGCTTTGGTTCGTACTAGTCTTAGCTACCTCTGCATCAAAAGAAGGTAGAAAAGCAATACCAAGCCCATTCAAAGAGTTCTAAGCAGTTTTACACCTATCTACTAGCAGGATCATTGGTATTTTCTTCTAGCTTTTCCTACAAACTAGGATTTTAAGATATCAAACTTTATCCACAAAATACAACCTTTTTGTGGAAAGGATCTTACTACTTCCAAGCTCACTGCAGAACATGGAGAGGAACTGAGACCTGTGGCAAGAGGAGGTCAGATCATGGCCAGCAGTGCTCCACAAGCAGTGAAAGAAATGTAATGTGGCCACTGGAATCATGGTGAGGGTCATCATCATGTGCCAACATCATCATATGTCAAGATTCTTGGCTGCAGGCATCTGTTCTCTATAGCCATGTCCAGACAGCCACTGAAAATCTACTCTTTAGGAAATGTACTTTTCAGCACCACAATTGATGATGCTCCAGCCAGTTCTGTGGCTCTAGCCAATTCCTTGGAACCATACTAAAATTTCTAGAAATCCGAAGTGCATTCCTATACCATAGGTTTTTTAGGTAAGAGACAGGCAAGAGACTCCATCCTGCAAGCAGTCCAGAGAGCCCACAAATCCAGTTATCTTTGCTACTTTATAAGATTACTGTCCTTGACATAATTTGTCATCCAGCAGTCTGCATCCCAGTGTCAACAAATCTGACATAAGTCAAGAGTCACAAAAAAGGTATGCAGTAACAAGTTTTTGGCACGTGCTTTGTATCCTTCCATTAACTTTAGCAGATTGTCTTAGTGACAAACAGGTACATTGCACATGGCTACCCCATTTTATTCCTTCTCTTGCCCTGTAACCTTCTAAAGAGACCCTTTGAGAAGTCCCATGAGAATTACAAGGCAAAGGCTTCTATTCCCAGTACTTACTCCATGGAATGCTGTAAGAGATCACGTGAAGTGTGTTAACTTCTGCTTCGGAAGAGATGTGAGCTCAGGTTCATTACCAGATTCTTCTTCCTGCAGTGGTATCAAGGACTTCTTTACATCTTGCGTATTCAGTATTCATGGGGGAAGAGGTTAGCATGCTATAATTCAGCATGGTGCACAACAGTGATAGGACTGTATCTTTCAGATTTTCCTCACATCTCTATGTGACACTATGAACTCACTCCAAGGGGCAAGCCATTTCATTGCAAAGACTGTCTAAATGGATAACTTAGAGTGTCATGCTTAGCTGCCACCTGGTAGGTGTACCTCTTTACCAGTCAATCACAGCTTACTCTGCCAGACCTGAAGCAGCATATTTGGTCTGTCTCCAAAATGTTGCAACATCTGAAATCTGTAAGTCTGCTTATGTTCATAAGACAACAGGAACTGGCTATGTCAGTGAATCCATACTTGATTTGAGAGAGTGGTGCCTGTTCAAGTGGTTCAGATGGTACTTGTTCTGGCCCTTCCAGAGGATACCCGGTCATGTACAGTGGGTCCCATACTGATGCTAGAAGAAGAAAGAATAGTAGTATGTGTGTCTGGGGGGGAACAAAAAATAGCACTGCTGCTGCAAGTGGCTGACCATGCTGTCAGCAGTGCAGCGACCAGGGCTGGTCTGTGCACCACTGCTGTTGCACTGCAGAGACTGTATTTTGAGATGTAGTCAGTGTGAAGCCTTCAGCATACCTCTGGTTTCAGAGTCCTCATCTAACACAGACTTCATGTTGCAAGGGTTGTGGCCATGGCACCATATGTGCTCTTTCGTTTGGAAGCATGAAAAACACAAGATGCACATGCAGGTCCAGTGAACACAGCTTTCCAAGAGATTCTTAGCTTACACTTGTGCACCTGCAGTGGACTCCACAGTTACAGTGGAGCAGGCAACCCTTCTCTGTCATACATGGTTTGTAGATTGAAAGCCTGTTACCCAAAGTTTTAAAAAAGTCAGAATCCCTTTACATTTACTGTAAAGGTTAAAAACAACCTGTCAATGATAACAGGGAAATCCTGTAAATGGAATGCATGGTTTTGAATGATAATGAGTGTAGAAATGAGATTTCCTTTGCTTTAGGCTTTAATGTTGTTTTCACTGCTTCTCAGCCTTCTTTGTCTCTGATGACTCAAGCCCCACTGAGATAAAGACAGAAAATGTTTAAATATGCTGTGCCCCTCTATGTAAGACCATTTATATGTATATAAAATGTTATATATTGCAAATCAATGTATTGATGTTAACATAAAACTGAATCGCAACTCAAACATTTTAAGTATTTGTGGTTCCCCTGTCAAAAGGTCTCTAATGTGTTACCCTGCACTGCCTTCTGCATGTCAAAAAAATTAAATAGACAAAGTTAATCCAGAAACAAATACAAAACAAAAAGGTAAAAAATTTAAAAATGCAAAAAAAAAAAAAAAATAGACCCAAGGAAGTTCAGTTTGTTTTTGAAAGCTTACTTAACATATCTCCCAGATATACAGTTAGTCCAAAAAAATCACAAAAAAGAAAACCTTGCCTATTGAAAAAATTAAAAATGTTTTTCAAATCCTATAATGAAGCCTCTGTTGGTTTTTTTCAGGGTCATAAACCAATACCAAGAGCTAATTCAAAATGAAGCTAAATGTCCTGTGAAGATGTTTCATAATTCAGGCGGATCAGTCAATCTAAGTCATCTTTCTCCAGGGAAGGAAATGGAAGTGAGTTTGTGCAGTGCTCCATTCTTATATTTAAAGTTGGAATTCTCAAATGGCATCTATCTTTAAAGGGAAAATCGTATCTAAATTCACATTTCTCTGTGATTTTTAAGCCTTCTGTTGTTAAAGTAGTAACTCAGTAATGGGAAGACATTAGAAAAAAAAGTCTTTCTTATTCTTTCATTTTTTAATTTTATGTCCTTGCTAACCCTATGTATATTTAGTTTCAGTGATTCATTGTAGTCAATTTTGTCAGCATGGGTTTGAATAGGAACAGTCCAGAAGGGGGTCAGGATTGACAGATGAAAAAGCTCTCATAAGAGTTTGTGCCCAGGTCACACTCCTTCTGTGAGGGACAGCGCCGCAGTAATATATGCAGAGTGGCAATTGAAAAGCTGAATTTTGATCGTGAAAAAAGGAGATGAACCACCTGGTTCGTAGCCACGCTGGTACCTCCCCTTGCAGCAACAGCTTCCCAGAAGCAAAGCTCTCACTGGTGCTAACTCCTCAGCTGTTTCTCTACCCGGGCTGCTAGAGCCAATGCAAAGAAGATGCAAAATTCCAGGATGAGAGGGAGGGTGAGGCACCCCCTCTGCCTCCATTGCAGCAGCGCTTAGGGCTTCTGCCCTACTCTCCTACCTGTAGTTAGTCTGTGCAGCAACAGATCAGAGAGAAACAGTAGTAAAATACAGTTCTAAAATCACAAAAAAAATCCAGGGATGTCACAGAGGTGTAGTAGCTGAACTTACTTTGAACTCTTTTTGAAATCTGTCTATTATTAGATTTCTAAATTGCAATCACCCTTCAAGAGATATCGGCTCTTAGAGGATTGTGCTCCTATGTGTATGAATTAGGGGTGTACCAATAGAGATTTTGGGGACTGATACCGATAGCCAACATTTAAGGAGGCATATCGGCCGATACCGATCCGATTTCCGATACAGCTGCACACAGCTGGTAAGTCTGTTGTGATGAAAGGGGAGAGCAGAGGGGCATTGGGGGGGAGGGGCAGATCAACGCCCCCATGGTGAGAGAGGGAGGGGGCAGTGGCAGGTGCTGCCCAGCCAGGGTGGAGCAGGAACCAGACGGAGCCATGGCTCATTAGGGGGCGTGGGCAGCTCCCGCCCCACTCACACTCCGGTATGGCACGGGGGGGGCACGCCTGTGCCCCCAGATCTGCATGGGGTGGGCAGGCTGCAGCTGCAGGCTGGAGCCAGGGCTGTGCCAGGCTCTTCTTGACAGGGGGTGGGTGGCAGCTGTGCTGGAAGGGGGCTACAGATGGGGCTGCAGCCACACCAAATTTCACTGTAGCCCCACACCCAGCACCGCCGCTGCCTGTCCAGCACAACCCTGGCTTAACCTCTGCCTCCCCCCACATGCTAGGAAAAGCTGGGGCTGCACTGGGCGGGCAGCAACAGCAGCACTGGTAGTGGGCCTACAGCAAAAGTTGGGGTGGCTGCAGCCCCCTCCATAGGCCCTCTCCCAGTGCTGCCATCACCCACCCTGAGACCAGCCCCTGCCAAGAAGATCCCAGTGCAGCCGCAGCTGCAGCCCTCATGCTCCGTGCAGATCCAGGGGCACGTGCTCCTCCCCCCCCATGCCCTCCTGGGGTGTGTGCAGCAGCAAGAGCCACCCAACAAGCCGCGGCTCCATCCCACGCTCGCCCCACCCCGGCTGGACAGCGCCAACCCGTTCCCACCCCCTCACCACAGGGGCCATTGATATGGACCCCCCATTCCCCTTCCCTCCCCCCTCCCTTTCCACCACAACAGACTTACCAGCTGCACATGGCTGGGCTCTGTTTCTCACTGCCTGCGTGCTTCGCTGTGGCTGCACACATGCACAAGCAATTATTGGCCAAATTATCCACCACTTCAGGCCAGTTTCTGGTGCAGCCAATTTTCTTTATATTGATACCAATCCAATATTGGACCCAAGTATCAATGCACCTCTGCTATGAATACCAGTAGTTCTGACGGCCCAAAATTTAGCATTACCTTATATCCTCTGAGAGTTTTAGATTGATCCCAGCATTCCAATGGCCTCCCTTTTTTTTTTTTGTGCCAGCTAGCAGTTTAGAATTTCTGCTAAAATTGGTGCTATCATTCAACACTGTCTGGAAGCATTTTTTAAGGAAGAAGATGAGGGTTTTCTGTATTACAGAGGTGCTGATGCTTTAATTATAGCACTAGAGCCCCCTGGTGTAGACACAGTATAGACTGCTGAAGGAGGGTTTTTTTTCTTAGACTTACTTTGGTTTCCTGAAGAGCAGCTCTGCCAACACAAGCCACCTTCCAGTAGCAAAGCTGCATCGACACCAGGGTTTGTGCCAACACAGCTGTGTTTGTGCTCTTTCCACACCTTTCTTCTGACACAATTGTATACCATAGAGGGACTACACGTGGCTGTACAGTGTCTGTCTTTAGGTTCCCAGAGTCCCTAAGGTTTTAAGTTGTGCTATGAATTGTGATCCTGCAGCATTGCATACTCTGTAGCTTCGGTCACTGATTCCATTTGGCAGAGATTTGGCCCAGTTCTGCGGCCAAATCTCTGAATCCAAATCAAATCAGGAGACCCTTTAGTCTCTCTGAATTGAATTGGAACCCCCTTTGGAGAGATTCGGAAAGATTCAATGATTCAGACATAGCAACAGCTTTAAATGTTTTTTCTACACTCCTCAAGTACCAGGTGGCTCATGAATGCTGAGATGCTGGGGCGGATGGAGCATCCCATGGGAGCACAGTGGGGTCCCCAGAATGCTCAGCAGCAGACCCAGAAGTTGACTAGAAGCACTCCGGTCCACTTCTGGATCTGCCGGGGAGTGTGCAGGGGACCCACCCCCATGCCCCCAGCCCAGCGACTGGTTCGTCCTGGGTCTGGAGAGGCACCTGGGGTCCCCTGCGACCAATTGCTGCGCTGGGGGGTCCCCGTGCACTTGAAGGCAGACCTGGAAGTGGAGCGTAAGTACTTCCAGTCCACTTCAGGGTTCACTGCTGAGCATGCAGGGGTGCCCCCCGCACTCCTGTGGGACACTCTATCTGCCCCACTATTGCAGCATTTGCGAGCCATGCCTGGTACCTTGACATATGTAGAAAAAACATTTAAAACTGTGTCTATGGCCGAATCACTGCTTCAGATTTGGATTCGGCTGAATCAAATCGTAACAGTGATCCAAATCAACGAATTGAATCACTGTCACCAATTTGGGCCAAATCCGAATCGAATACAGCCTGTTTCACACACCTGTACTTTGTAATATAGACAAAAAGAGCTGAGCATCAGCTCTTATCATGTGTGTTCAGTTTGAAAAGAACTTCAAATGAACAATAATTCAGCTCAAAAACTTTTGAGGGGGTCTTCTATAATTTTTTTTTAAAAAACTTTTTATAAGTTGATTTTTGTCAGAACATTTTGAGACATGGTGGACATGTTATTCTAAGGTTTTAATGTTTATAACTGCAAATATTTGTATTGCTTTACAATCCTGAATGTTGGGTTTATTTTATTGTCACAGTTCACAAGTTGTTTTGTGTCATTATTGATGAAGGTGGATTTAATTTTCTTTTGACCTTCTTAAAAATGAAGAAAAGAATTGTAATTAATTATAATGGTAATAAGCAAAAGGTAAATGGAGATTTAAAAAAAGGTTATCTGGCATTCCGTTCTGTGAGTCTTAGGATTGTTTAGAATTTGAAAAAAGAGACATTCTGGTCATGACATAACTTTTATTCTGAATATATACTTCATGCAAGTAAAATAAGTATTTAGCTATGCCTGTAAATTTATTTTCCCTAAAACAATTGGAACTAGTAGGGTTTGCGTTTTTAATGGCATGTATAGCTGACTTCTAGAAACCTTGCCAACTGTAAAGCAGAACTATACATATAAATAACTGTAAGGCAGTATTTTAACTTCATCATAAAAAGAAACTCAGAATATTTTATGAAACAAAAGACAGGCCATCTTTCTTTCAAATATGATGGTGAAATCCTGATTGATGAATTAATGGAAATACTCTTACCAAGCCAGAATTCACCAAAGAATTTTGGGTCCTGTACCCAAAATGAAGAAATCTGGCTCTGTACCCCGAGTCCAGAGGGGATCAGGGTTGACAGATGAAAAAAATGAAATAATTTTAGAGGTAAAGGCAAGTTTTCCTTTCTTTCAGGAGCATAACTGCTGTTTTTGCACTTATGGGAAGTAGCAGAGAGGAAATTTAGGAATAAAAAGAAAGGAATAAAATGTCCAATTCTTTTTAACTGTTTTAATTTTTACCTCAGTCTTGGAGGTCTTGTGTGCTTGAAAGCTTTATCTGCAGAGCCTCAAAAATCATGCTTTTGTATCTGACCCTAAAACAAGACTGTATCCTGAAGAACTGCCTCCTTTGTCATGATCTTGAGACTTAGAACAAGTGTGCTGATTGAATTATTTTTGTCAAATATATGCAATCTCAGATTGTGCTGATACTTGCTGAATTTCTTTTTTACTCCTAGCAGCCAGAAAGTTTGTCGGGTTCTGTTCAATCTTCAGTATTGGGAAAGGGTGTGAAGCACCGACCTCCCCCGATCAAATTACCTTCAAGTTCAGGAAGTAGCTCTTCAGGTAAATATTTTTTAGCTTTTAGCCCGTGACTTTTGGTCTTTGTGTTTCCCCTGTTTTAAAGTATGAGATTTCATTACTTCAGCAAAATCTTAGTTAAAAAAACGAAACATCATCTTCCTGTAATTGATTCGGTATTTTCAAAGCTGCTCTTACTGCTTTTTGATTAGAAAGCATTGTTCTAAGATTTGTATAATGTTCTAATTAGCCTCTCTCCATAGAACTGTAACACATGCTAATTGTGCTTTTTCAGGTAATATTTTTAGTCCACAGCAGTCAAGTGGCCACCTAAAGTCCCCAACTCCTCCTCCTCCTCTTCCTCCTTCTAAGCCTCCCAGTCTCTCTCGGAAACAATCTATGGATCTTAGTCAAGTTAGCATGCTTTCTCCAGCTGCCATGTCTCCTGCAAGTTCTTCACAAAGTGAGTCACGACCTAAATTCTCCATTAAATCTTAGGCTTTTGCATAAATGCTTCTTGAGATAACTTCTTAACCCGTGGAATGGTGAAACTTAAATGTACAGTGTACTCTAAACTGTATAAGTTGTGCAGAGCTTCAGGCAGGTCTCTTGTTGATTGTATGTATTTTCTGTTTATTGTAATTGTGTTTGTTTTTCTGTATATATATATGTATGCACCCTTTGTGTATACGTTTTAATACATTTTATGCAACCAGTATGATTTTCTCTTTTATAAAAGATAGCTAATGTGACAAGATAAAATTCCGAAGTGTAGTTCTTTCCTCCAGTGTAAAAATAGTACATTAGATCAATTTGCATTTACATACTTTAAGCATCTGTTTTTTTTAAATGTCATAGGAGCCGGTGCAGTTGTATCTCTGTGTATGTATATAACCTGATCAGTCCCAAGGTGGTGATACAATAAACTCTAAGATGATTTTTTAAAACACTCCTACACTGTTTTACAAATCATTGCTGATTACAAGTGTGGTGGTGGTGGTGATGATGCTGATGATGATTATAGCACCATAATATATGGTGTTAAAATGTAGTTTTCTAAATGAGTGACATCCATGTTTGATTTTTAACAATGACAGAATATAATTACAGGCATAGATCATAAACAGTTTTAAAAATACTTGTGCGTCTCAAGATATTTCATGAACAGATTTGTACAGGGAGAGAAACCACAGCCATAGTTTTTCATGGGGTTTTTATTAATAATTGTATACTGAGCATTCAGTATACTGCACAGTATCATAATGTGGTTTTTGCATGAGTTTTAAATATGGATAGCTCAAAAGGTGTAATTTTTCTGCCTTCTTGTTTTGCACAAAGAAAAACATAAGAAAACTTTTATAATTTTTTTATCAGTTTTATACACACCTTTTATGTTGCTGATATGGAGTATGTAAATCTACTGCACACAGTTGTTACTATAGATAAGGCTCTGGTCACAGCATTTGGACATTCACATTTCTTTCCTTTCTTTCTGCAGGACATGAAAGCTAAAAAAGAACACACCTCAAGAGCTTTTGGGTTTTTTTCTGGTTTTTTTTGTTTCTTCTATTGATAAACTGTGCATACTGCATTCACAACAAGTTTAGCTATACATTCTACATTTAAACCAAAGGAATTACACAGTAATTTTTAAAGATGCAGTATTATCTCCTGCAAAAGCATTGAGTTTGTTTTCTCTTTTTTTTGATTAAATTAAAATCTGACAAATTGGTTTTAGATATCTACTTGACAAAATTTAGGTGGTAGCCATTGCCCCATTTGATTCCTGAAAATAATATCTGTTCTTTGTCGAATCTGTTGCTTTCCATGATATGTTTTTGACATAGTGCTATTACGCAGGTAGAACATACATGTTTGACATTGTGACAATTAATTGGGTTAAAATGGTCACTTGGAAAAATTTCTCTATCTTGACTTAAATATTTCCAGTAGTGTCATGATTTAGTGTTTGGTAAATTTTCAAAACTTTAATGGGAAATACAAATTTGTGTCCTAGTTAAAGAGTTAAGCATGGCGATGGGGTTTCTGTGTGATATACTGCATCCTTAATAATGAGCGAGTGCTGCCACACTCGTGTGTCATGTGTAGAAATTAACACTTGCAGTTTAAAAAAATGGAACAAATTGTCAGTGCTAAATAAGATTCCATTTACCTTATTTTACAAAAGGACTGGCTGGCCTTTTATAACAAACTAGCGCTTTTTATTTTTCTCAATGAGCAGGGTCTGGAACTCCTAAACCATCTACTCCTACTCCAACCAACACCCCTTCATCGACCCCACACCCTCCTGATGCTCAGAGCTCAACTCCTATTACCCCTTCTGCCACCCCTACTCCCCAAGATTCAGGCTTCACCCCTCAGCCCACTTTGTTAACCCCGTTTGCTCAGCAGCAAATGTCACTGAGCCAGGCATTGCCTGTAATGACCATTCCTCTTTCCACCATGGTAACATCCATTACTACAGGAACAGCCTCCACCCAGGTCATGGCAAACCCTGCAGGACTTAACTTCATCAATGTAGTGGGCTCTGTTTGGTGAGTTCTGTTTATTACAATGATTTGGTAACATATTTTATGTTAATTTACAGGAATATTCATTAAACCAGATTTTGTATCATTTCACCTCTGAAGTTACCACAACTACAATTTTATGTTTCTTAAAATATAATAAACCTATTATTAGAATATCAAAGGAAAAGGAAAAAAAACAAAACCTTTTTTCAGTAAACTCTACTTTTTAGATGCACTGTTTAATTACAATAGTGCTGATAAAATTGTAGCTCTTAAGGTTTTGTTTTTTATACTTCCTCATTTGAAAAGTTCCTTTTTATCCATCATTATGTGAGAAAACATGAACTATGCAAACAGCACAAAAAGAGAAATGAAACAAAATTCTGAGTAAAAAAAATGAATAAAAGGCATTCATTTTCTCTATATAGAAAATATATAAAAAATTGTATCTGATTTATGGGTAATTCCAGTAAACATTTTTATATTTCTAAGTTTTAAATATGCTCAGAATGTGTCATTGCAGTTTAAGGAATATGGATTTTCTACCCAAACTATTTACCAACAACTAGGGTTACTACAAACATATTAAACTGACTAAAGGAAAACATGAGCTTGCTCTTTTTCTGTGTTAAGACAGTAAAGCTTTGCTTGTGGTTGTGTTACTCTTAAGAAACAATGCAAACAGTAAAAGAACATGCACTTTTTATTCACCCCTTGATCTTCGGTATCAGTGAATGTTATGTGCAAAGAACAGGAGTATATTCTGGATGCATGTTCTTCAAGCCTTGAGCACTTCAGAAAGGCCCTTATGTATTTTAAGGTGCCTTTATATCTGGGTATTAGAGAATATATGCCATATTTCACACTGAACAATGAATTTCATTTAATTTTATTTTTAAAGTGTAAATGTCATGTTGTTTTTGGTGGGTTACTAAACAGAATGGTTATTAATGTAATTCTGCTCAGTCATTTTGAACGCTAGGTCACTTAGAGTGAACTGTTGAGTTGAGCTCGTTTGTCATAGGGTGGATGGCATTCTCCTTTGTGTCACTTGGATTTGATGTGTGTTCTTTCCTGTCCTACAGCGGAGCACAGACATTGATGAGTGGCTCAAACACCATGCTGGGATGTAATACCGGTGCCATAACCCCTGCAGGTATAAATCTGAGTGGCATATTACCATCAGGAGGTCTGGTACCAAATGCGCTGCCAGCTGCAATGCAGTCTGCCTCTCAAGCAGGTTAGTATGAATCAATTAGATAACGACGGCTGTGAAACCATAATATGAAAACAGTGGACACATGTATTTGGTTGGAGCAGTGGATGGACAGATCTGACATTCAGTGACTTGGATTTGGGAATTATATCTATATTCTTATTCCTTAGGTCAGGTAATCTTGGCAGTCTAGGCTAGAGAAATGTATGCCTGGTTATGCATGTTTAACACCTAGCAAGAGAGTTTATGAAGTCAGCTTTCCAATCTCAGCAGCAACTATAGTGGTCATGACTACTAAATGAAAAGGCATCCCAATATGTAGGAAGAGAATCCACACTTGGCTTCCTAAGATTTTTAATCTTTCACTGTGCATTGTCTCATTATAAGTTAGCTCAGTGGTGCCATAAAAGATTACTGTAAAAATCAACATGCTTTGCTATTCGTTAGAGCAGTAGTCAGCAACCTTTTCAGGCTGCAGGCCTGAATGATCCAGCTCAGGTCTGAGGCAGGCAGGCAAGTGGACACTGGGACATGGCCACAGCTGCTGCCACCACATCTATTTGCAGCAGCACATGGAGAGATCCATGCAGCCTCCTGCTGCAGCATGGGGAAAGTGACCACAGCCAAACTTCCTGCCACTGAATGCCTCCAAAGCCCCATGTCCACAGGCCAGATATAATGGCTCTGTGGACTGAGTCCACCCTGCTGGCCATAGGCTGCAAAACCCTGCTTTAAAGCATCCCCTGAATTTTTAGTGTCTGAACCTTTTATTCACAAGAGAAAACAAAACCGTTTTGTTTGAAAATATTTGTTTGATCTCAGGGTCATAGAAATATTGGGCTAAAAGGGGCATCCAGAGATTTAGTCCAATCATCTACACCAAGGCAGGTTTACATATACATAGGTCATCCCTAAGCAGACATTGGTCCAAACCATTTTTTTTTAAATTCCACTTAACAGGAATCTACAGCCTCCCTAGAAAGCCTGTTCCAGTGCTGTACTGCTTTACACTTGGAAAGTTTTTCCTCATGTTTAACTGAAATCTGCCTTGCTCCAAGTAAAACCCATTTTCTCTTGTCTTGTCAAAGTGCCCCACCGTGTCCTCTCTTTTGAACTAAACCCAGTTCATTCAACTTTTCCACACAGATTATATTTTCCAAACCTCTTTTCATTCTCATTGCTTACCTTTGTACCATATCTAATTCTGTACCACATCTTTCTTAAAGCGGGCGGCCTGAAACTGGACATGGTGCTCCAATTGAGGCTTCACCAGCATTGAGTACAGCAAAACAAATCCTGCATCTTACATACCACACTCCTATCAAAACATCCCAAAATGAGTTCTGCCTTTTTTTACACAAGCATCACAGTGGTGACTCAGGTTTAGTTTGTGACCTGCTTTTAACCCCTAGAGATTTGTTGCTGCCTAACCAAATATTCACCATCTTGTATCTGTTTATTTGATCTGTATTACTTTGCACTGTCTCTCTTAATGATTTGGGATCTTTTCTTCAGTTTATCAAGACTGGAACAGAACTCAATACAGTCTCCCAAAGTGCTTTCAATCTCTCCTGGCATGGCACTATCCATCAGTGTCCTCACAAATCTGTTGTCCAAGTAAATTTTTATGAAACAGTTGCAGAGAAGTGGGTCTGGGTCAGACCTCTGCAATATTGTATTTGAAATACCTTCCCAGTTTCAAAGCAAACCACTGGTGTAATCACTTTGACTCTGGCTTTTCAAGACTCTGGCTTTTCAACCTGTAAAGTATCTACCATATACTGATTTCATATAGACCATATTTTCTTGGTTTACCTATATAAGAATTTTGTGTGGGACAGTATCAAAAATGATATAAAAATCTCTCCTGTGAAAGTGCATTTGAACTTCGTATCCTCAAAAAAAGCATTATAATTTGCAGTATTTTAATATTTCCCCTCTCTAAAGTAGCTATCAGTAGTTGCTGTTTCAGTGGGACTTCAGACATTTTGGTAAGTGCTGTGCAAACTGGAATGGTATTTAAAACACAGGAACCGCAGAACATACACTGATACTGTCTACATTCTTTCTTCTATTATTCATATAGGGTGTGTGTACACATTGCCCTACAGCGATGTAGCAATGTACTAAGTTGCTGTATGGTGTGCTACGGCAATGTAGTGATCACGTGAATCTACATGTGATAGCCAGCTACATTGCCGTAGTGGCATGCTCCCCCAGTATAGCACACCTCTATGGCAACGTAGCAGCAAAATCTAACTGTACACTGCATATGGTGACATGTAAATACCCATAAAGTATTTTCACAGTATCAGGTTTAACACCACTTTTTTTCTATTTAGTCGTGTCTCAAAATGGGGAGAACTATGAAATGTTCAGTTCTGTGGGGAAAATGAAACACTCCAATCTTGCCATTTTGTAGGTTTGAATGTTCAGAAATAATTCAGTTTGCTTGCTATATTTAACGTGTTGTAACTAAGTAATGAATGACTATTAATCAAAAGACTTGTTTTTAACAGGCAGCACTTTTGGTTTAAAAAATACTTCCAGTCTTCGGCCTTTAAATCTACTACAGGTAACTGAACATGCTAATATAAATAATTCTGCATATTATTCTATATATATATATATATGTGTTGATTAGTGGTTTTGGTTACAGAGACCCTCAGTATCATGGAGCCAGTCGTTCAGAAGATAGGCCATTTCGTGCAACATAACATCTTTTAATTTGAATATTTAGCACAACCAATTGGATATGCTAATAAAACGGGTGCCTCAAAAATCAATAAAATCAGTCCACAAAAAACATGAAACCAGAGGCTGCTTCTTTAATTTAACAACAAATCAGGTATTTTTAATGACAAAGCAAACGAAGCCAGGTGGCTAAGTACAGTAACCAAAGCTTCCATTTTTTTAAGAAGTCACCTTTCCTTTCACTGAAAATGCTTTTTTTTAAAATTATGACTCTAGGAAAATTGCAAAATAAGCAGTGGGGTAGAAATCTTTCTTCCACTTACAGATGTAGTACTAAGGAAGTTGCAGTGCTCAGGCATCTTAGTGCAGTTGGTTCAGGGGACTTACAAGCTTAGCTAGCAGAACTAACAAACTCTGCAAGAGTGGGAAGTCCATCCAAGCAAGGGGTTGGGAGCCCCTGAATAACTAGATACTTTATTTTAAACAAAAAGGAGAAATCAGGAGCTCAAGTTAGATGCAAAGAGGAAGGGCCATCAGGAGGCTAATTTTGGTTCCCACGTACTAAGTCACATAGTCCAACACATGCACAAATGCATGCACATGCACGTACACCCACCCACACACATACCCCCATCACCTCTAGGTTGCTTCTTTTTCTAATCCAGTACTCTTTCCACACCAGGAACATGGTGGTGTGGCTTCTGCCCCAGGAATTCCCCCATGTATATGAATTTTTCACTAACTCTGGTACCCATTTTAAGACCACTTAGTGCAGTAGACTTAACAAACCAGAGGAGTCTGGTCCAATAAGTTAAATTAAAAAAAAAAGTATTATTATATACTAGTTGCACAGTTAAACGCAGTGCACTTGCATGTGCAGAAGTCGAGTGTCTGAACATAATATTAATAATTTCACATGGGATATATTTACTTTTCCCATTTTAATTAGTTTCGTAGCTTACTGCTCTTCTGCTGTAATACCAAAATTACAAACCGTATAAGACTTTGTACATGCAGTAAAACCAATCCACAAAAAACATGAAACCCGAGGCTACTTTTTGGAATGCTATTTTTTTACTTTTCTTGTCTTGGATACAATGTTATCAGAATATTGGTAAAAAGCTTATATTTCCAACACTCCCAATCTAATCTCAGGGTATGGTTTTGAATCTCTTCTCAAATTAGTGTAATTCAAGCATAACTCAGTTGAAGTCACTGTAATAATTCAAAAAATATTGGGCCCCATATATTATTAATACTTCTTGTATCAAATGTTATAGATTACTTGTAGGAAAGACATAGCCACATGAAATATACTGTTTTAAACATGAAATTAATAAAATATTTCAATTTTAAGTGTATTTCATAGATTTCATAGACATTAGGGCTGGAAGGGACCTCGGAAGATCATCAAGTCCAGCCCCCCGCCCAAAGGGCAGGAAGTCAGCTGGGGTCGTAGGATCCCAGCAAGATAAGCATCCGATTTTTTTTTTTGAAGGTGTTCAATGTAGGTGTTTGAACCACCTCCGATGACAGGCTATTCCAGACCTTGGGGGCTCGGACAGTAAAGAAATTCTTCCTTATGTCCAGCCTGAATCGGTCTTGCAGTAGTTTATAACCATTCAACCTCGTCATCCCTTGGGGCACTCTGGTGAACAAACGTTCCCCCAGATACTGGTGGTCACCCCTGATAAACTTATAGGTGGCCATCAGATCACCCCTGAGCCTGCATTTTTCCAGGCTAAAGAGCCCCATAGCTCTCAGCCTGTCATCTTAAGGTCTGTTTTCCTGACCTCTGATCATGCGCGTGGCTCTTCTCTGGACTTTCTCAAGCTTCTCCACATCCTTTTTGAATTGTGGAGCCCAAAACTGGACTCAATACTCCAGCTGCGGCCTCACCAAGGTGAAGTACAAGGGGAAAATGATGTCCCGGGATTTGCTTGGGAAGCATTTATGGATGCAAGCCAGCGTTTTATTCGCTTTACTAGCTGCAGCATCGCATTGAAAACTCATGTTCATCTTGTGGTCAATGATGACCCCCAAGTCTCTTTCTTCTGTAGCACTGCCGAGCCTATAAGGATGCTGCAGGTTTTTCCCGCCCAAGGTGGAGAACCTTGCATTTTTTCAGTGTTTAACACCATCAGGCTCTCATCCGCCCATTTGCTGAGCCTGTCCAGATCAGCCTGGATTGCCTTCCTGTCTTCAGGTGTGGATGCTTTCCCCAAATTTTGGCGTCATTGGCAAATTTGGCCAGTCCGCTTCTGACTCCAGTGTCCACATCATTAATGAAGATGTTGAACAATATGGGTCCAAGGACCGAACCTTGGGGAACTCCACTGGTCACAGGGCACCATGATGATTGACTTCCATCAGTTACCACCCTTTGGGTCCATGCATGGAGCCAATTTCCCAGCCAGCGGATCATGGTGGACCCAAGGCTATTTGTTACACTACGTTTTTAGAGATATGTAAAACCTGCCTGATTTTATTTAAATGGTAGAATGAACACTCTCATTCCTGTCTAAAAGAAAGCAGTAGCAATTTGTACACAGGATTCATAATTGTTTATTCTTTAGTATCTGCAAATAGTACATGATGCCTATATCAATATTTATCTTCATTCAGAGAGAATATCAAGATTGTCAGTGTTTGAATTATGCCTTTTCTTTTAATCTTTAACAGCTTCCAGGTGGCTCGCTTATTTTCAACCCACTCCAGCAGCAGCAGCAACAACAGCTATCACAGTTTTCTCCACAGCAGCCGTCCCAACAGCCTACCACCTCTAGTCCTCAACAACAGGGAGAACAGGTGTGTCCTAACTGCTGTCTGGACAATTGTATAAGTCCTTTGAAAGGGTGTCAAATAATACAGTTTACTCTGCATGATGATGACACTATTCAGATATTGAGTCTGTTGGAATAGTTGTTTAAAGGAAAGGAGAAGGAATAATACTGATCTACTAACTGTCCAGGGTATGTAATTTTTGGAGTGCATGAAAGTCGCTTATCATTTTCCTTTCTATTCCTAGATCTTGTAAAAAGAATCTGTGTTACTTCATTATGCCAAGGGCCTTTCAGTCCTATAAAGACCCTCTGCCTGACCAACATCAGATTTTAATAACTTAAATATTCTTCACATAAAGTATTAATAACATTTGACATTTCTTCACTAAGTACTTAGTTTGTAGCTCACTTTAATTGACAGAGGATTAGCAGAAACTAATTTCTTAATTCACTATGTCTATGAAAGGAAATTTTTGAATCCTGATAATGCTGAAATAAAATATTACGCTTTTCTTTGATCCTAAGAGCTCCAGTAAGACTTACTGGGCGCATCCACATGTGCAGTTAATGTGCCTGAATTATCTGCACAGAAAATTCAGGCTCATTAAAGTGTTTCCCAGCACACACTGATATGTGTGCCCTCATCGGGAGCTAATTGAGCCTGACAGGATCAGCCCAGTTCAGGGCTGCTCCTGGCCTGCTCTGCTCCCGTGCAGCAGCCAGGAGAAGACCCAGGCATCCCTCAGTGCCATCTCCAGGCTGGCAAGGGGCACAGGGACTTAGCCCTGAGCTCCAGAGGGTGGGGGTGGAGCTGTCCCAGCTAGGGTGGCCACTGACAGATCCCCAGAATAAAGGACATTCTTGGGGGGGTGGGGGAAGAGACCATTGGCCACCTTAGTCAATCAGCAGTGAGGGGTGGGGCCACCAGGTCCCTTAGCCAATCAACAGCAAGAGGTGAGGCTACCACAAAAAGCCACAGCCTCCCATCATCCTTTCCTCCCTGGCTGGCTCAAACCCTACTCCTCCTGGATGTATACCACCTACTTCTATTGGCATAGCTAATAGAATCACAAGGACAAATGACTGACATACATTTCCACCAGTGAACTGAAATTTAGAAATAGAGGACAAAGGGTTTTAAAATAGGATGATCTGGTGTAAAACAAGACCACCCTAGTCTCAGCTCAGTGGGCAGCTCCATCCTAGCTGGGGGATGATCAGACTAGCTGATGTGGAGGCAGCTGTCTCAGCTGGGCAGGCATCTGCCTCCCACCCACATAGAAATTGGGACCTGTCCCAATCTCCACATGGCTGGGAGAGCTGTCTATACATACAGTATGGCACATTAGTTAATGCACTATTTTTCTAGTACCTGTTTCACTTTTTTATGATTCTCAGTTTAATAGGGGACCTTAGTTTTATGTATTCCAACTTCAGTTTTATGTATTTAGCTTTCTGATTCGAACCGTCAGTCGTGATTTGGAATTATTTTTATTTGTTCAGTAAGCTGTTCCTTTTAGGATTTCCTTTTACAGACATACTGAACTAAGAATTGTTTTGCCAGTTCTCCACGTGTGCAAACTAAGTTGTAATTACTTAAATTGAGCTACAACCCAAGTACTTGGAGAAGAAAATATCAACATGCTATTTAATTAGTGTGTTAGTATAATGTATATATACATTTATCTTTGGGTTTTGGGGAGATGTTAGTACTACACTTTTGTCAATACATGAGTTAATTTTTAATGCTACTCTAACATCATAACATCTTTTCTCAAATCATGAGACTCATTTTGCTGAACAACTCCTTTGTTTTTTTTATATCTTTATTTCATACAATATCTTAAGCTTTGCAAAACTCATGGAAATTTACCAGGCCAGAGATATGATAAATTTCTAAGTTAATGACATAGGCCAGTAAGAAAAAAAACACACAATATGTATTAAGCAAATCTGTTCAAATCATGCAGTATATACTTAACCAGTCTTATTTATACCATGTCATACATGACATGGCTGTGCTGATATAAGACACTACAAGCCACACGAATGCTGTAGAAGACTTTCAGGCAGGTTCATCAGATCAGGCTTTAATAATCCAATGAATAATAATTGGATAATCCAAAATGTGCTAATTTTGTTATGTTAAAAAAACCTGTTTTCAGAATATTACTATTTTTGTTATGAATTAAAGATAGTGAGTACAACACAATTTTAAAATTTAAGCACATTTTTCAGTCAGATTTTTCTTTGACTTAATGATCTGTCCATAATTAAGCTTACTCTAGTTATGGCACTTGTGGGCCAGGTATTCACAAGTTCATGTGCTACCCAGGCTTGAAGCTGTAGTTCTGGGAGACTAAGAGAAGATAAAGTGCTGTGTCACTAAACTATAGCAGAAGGCAGGGTAAAGATGCATCTTGTAGACCAGTGGTCTCCAAACTTTTTTGACCGCGCATCCCTATCAGTAAAAGATTTTTGAGCACACACCCCCAATATATGTATATTTATATAAATATACATCTAAAAGAAGTTCAGATATTTTCTTCCCACACCCCAGTGGATAGTCTTGTGCACCCCACTTTGGAGACCACTCTAATAGACTAACTGAATCAGATGCATAAGCTTTCACAGGAACTCACTTCATCAGATAGCATTAATCTATAAATATCAAACAAAATCTGATGAAGTCAGCTGTTGTTTGTTAAAGCTTATGTTGATTCAGCTAGTCTATAACAGTAGTTTTCAACTCTTTTTAGACCCAAGGCACCCTTCAGAAAATACCAGCTTAGTTTCATTTTTTTTTTAATAGTAGAATTTTCCTGTTACAAAGAACTCGGAAAGACCACAACAGTTTAGATTTTTTTAACACTATAGATTATTTGAAATCATTAGGCTTATCTTGTAAACTATATATGCATACCCAAGTGCTAATATTGCATGGAACCCTGCTAGCACCCCTGAAAGGATCTCAAGGCAACCGAGGGTCCTGAAAGGCCCAGGTTGAGAATCACTGGTCTACAATATGCGTCTTTACCCTTCCTTCTGCATGACTTCAAACTAAAACAGCTAACTACTTGGCTCTTAACTAGGAGTGGCCAACCTGCGGTACATGTCACAAGTAGCACAAATAACCTGTATGTATGGTACGCAGCAATCCAGGAAGGGGACAAACAGCACCGTAGCAGAATTGGGCTGAGAGCAGAAAGCAGAGCAGCTGATCAGGAAAGGGAAGGGGATCAATGCGAGACACCTGCCAAAAAGGTTGACCCCCACTAATTTAAACTGGTTTCTACCAATTGCTGTGAGGAAACCAGAACATGCTTTTGGATGTAAAGATCTAATTGTAATATCCTGGCAAACATCTTCTACCATTGTAAAACAGGCTTCATAACTGAAAGTTGAGTGAGATCTGTTGTTGAATACACAAGGAATATTAAACATCATGGAAACCCAAATTAAGTATTCTTTTGTATCTCACTTATTTTTGCAAGGTGTCTGAGCAAGGTTCATGCAATCAAGACCAGGCCTTGTCTGCCCAACAAGCTGCTGTCATTAACCTTACTGGAGTAGGGAACTTTATGCAGCCTCAAGCAACAGGTATGTGTTTGCTGAGCTTTCTTCTGTGGATATATTAAGTATATGCTTTGATAAATTCCATACTGGAATGAAGTTTGGTGTTAAATATAAAGCTTTTCCTTGCACCAGTTACTTTCAACGCTAAGTGAGTTGTTTTATGTGGCTTACATAAGAAATATTGCCAATGTATCTGACTCGCAAGTTTAAAGCATGCACTTTGCCTCTTTGTCTTGCTGTGTGATAGGTGTAGTGAATTGAATATTGTCTTTAAACTCAGGACAATTATTATGAAAAGAAATAGTACAAAGCTTCCATACCAAACTTCATCAAGGAGCATCCCTTTAATCTGTGCTTTTACCTCCAGTATGAGAAATGTTTCATGTCCACAAGCACTTCATAATCTTATTGCATGTTCTAACTAACCAAATGCCTTTACTGTGTATACCTTATTCTGCACTGTTTCTGATTTGAGTCTGAGACTAATTCTGCTGATCCCCTTTCTGTTGCACTCTGTTCCTATGTCTTTCTTTCCTAACCCTTAAAACCTTCACCCAACCTCTTTGACCTGCCTGCTTTCCCTCTTCTCCTTTTTGTAGTGTTGTCTCAGCTTGGCTCTGCCGTGAACAGACCTGGGCAAAGCCTTCCTCAGCAGACACTCCAGCTCTCCTCTGCCTTACAACAACAGCAACAACAAGCCTTGCAGCAGCAGCAGCAACAGATACAAGTAATCCAGCAACTTCACTCTGATTGTATTAAAAAAAAAAAAAAAATACAATTCTCAGCTCCAAAGCCAAAACTGCTGCCCTTTAGATTTTTACTAATACCTTTAAGGATTTTAAAAACAAGTGCTGCATTTTGGCAAACTGAATACTGAAAGTTCTAAAAATGATTTCTCTCTCAACTTGGAGCACTGAATTTATTTGTATACATTTGAGCCATCACTTTCCTGATTTGATAGCATTCAAGGAGTGCTTGTGGCATGCTACTAAAATGAGTTCTGCCAGGTGCCATTAGGATTTGATGTGACAGCATGTACCAAGGACCTAGTTAAATTCAATCCAACTGCACAGCTACAGGTAGAATTAAGGAAGCACTGGCAAAGCATTCCTTTCACAAACTATTGCTGTATATCTAGATGTTTTTGTGAAGTATGTTATTGCAACATTTTAGCAGAGAAATACAATTGCATGAATGAGGAAAAGACACAATGTTTTTTTGCATATTGTATATTAAGCTGAACATGTTTTTTTGTGAACCAAAACATTTAATGAAGTTGCTGAGTTACTGCAGTTACTGCAACAGACAGAGGGCAAAAAACTGAATCTAGTTGTCCAAGTTTACTTGGGAAATGTTAAAAGTGCCCTTAGCAGGCTTCTGTGCCACTGGTGCTGCTTGACTGTACTCATTTTCCTAGTCTGTGGTATATTCTTTTGTTGATCTCATTCCCAGTGCTTCCTCAGTTTAATTATCTCATCTTGTTTTTTCCTGAGGTTGAAGGTAGTTCTCAATTTAATATAACAAGCTTTTTTTCCTTCCCCTTCTCCCTCACGGCAGCAGTTGCGATTCTTGCAGCATCAAACGGCTATGGCGGCAGCAGCACAAGCAGCTCACCTACGACATCAGCAACATTCAGGCAGCCACTCAAAAAGTAAAAGGAAGAGAGGTGCCCCAGCCCCTCCGAGCTCCTGAGCCTGGCAATTTTATATCTAAAAAAAGGTCTTTGATTTAAAACTTTTTTTAACAAATTATTTTTAAGAAAGGAGAAAGCTCAGAAATCAGTATTTTACATTGCTGGTAAGAAAAATGAACTTTTCAAATTACACTGAAGTGTGTAAACTGTATCTGGAAGCCAAGCCTATGGAAAATAGGAATTTCATCTAATAAGCAGCTAGGGTTTGGTTTCTGGAAGTCACTTAATATTTTTAACAAAATATTTTGCCTTGTATTTTTTACCATTCAGCAACATTGTACATAGTTCAGGGGTGATGAGACATTTTAAGGCAAAAATGAACTTTGTAAATGTAGTATTGGTATTTGTTTATTTAGTATAAAAGGTTTGTGAACACTGTAACAAATACAATTTTTACAAATCCATTTTGAAGAGAAATTGGCATGCATTTATTGTGATTTTATGCTTTTTATCACTTTGTCCATCAGCTGCTTCACTTCTTTGTGTCTTGTAATTGCCCGGGTAATACAGTCCTGAAGTTTTGCTCCAGTCAGGGGACTTCCACCTAAAAAGTGAAAGAAGTTTGGTTTTCAATTTTGTTCTCTCAAAAACATTGGCTAAATGGAAATATTAATGCCTGCTAATTAGCAGGTTACTATTACTGACTTGGTGTCCAATTTCTTCTTAAAATACATTTTTTCATTAAGTTAAATATCAACTAGTAGCAGGCAACCTGTGTCCAAGATCTATGGTCTGTGTTAAACATACCATGAAAACAAGATATTTTTGCTGCTGCTGGAGCAGCAGCCATATACCAAGCAGTACTGCTATATTTTTTTAAAGAAATTTAGACTATATGTCAGTAATTTGTTTTAAAAAAAATGAATTGTGTGAAGAAAAACAGTATTTGTTTAGGGTGCATCTAAGTAGGTCCGGTCCAGTGTTAAGATGGAGCTGTGTGCAAAACGTCATAATGTTACTATGAAAACAGCCATTCATATACAGAATGTGATTGTGCATGGAGTACAAAATATTTGGGGAAACAAACATGTTGTCTATCCAGTTCGCTCATAGTAATTTTTCCAAGTACCTGGCTTATGAACAGAACACAGCCTGCCTTCTTCATCAGTTACAATTGTTACAGTTCCAGTTGCCAGATCCTCCTCTTCTGCAGTTGGATCAACAATGAGTAATGTGCTTTTAAAAAGAAAGAAATAACAGATGCAAATTACTGGATTTTCACATACAAAACAATGGTAAATTTAATTACATCAGCTAGCTTTATAAAAATATTTTAAACCAAACGTATCATAGCCAAGTTTAGCACTGCTACAAGCACTGTGTAATATCCACTATTCCCTCATCAAAACACAAACTCATTTAAGGAACAGAAAAGGCAGACCAATACAGAACTGTATGCTAAGCTCTGGAATGCGCTTGCATCTTTGCCAGTTTTAAGTGAAACAATCTAAGCGTAAAAGGTTGTCAGAACTTGAGTAACCAGCAAAAGGGTTGTGAAGCTGCTATTTGCAATATTAAAACATCTACTGCCATCCCTTGCACCTGCTAGTCCCAGCTAATTAAGAACCAAACAGCAGTGGCATATTATAAATGAGAGCCAATTGTTTAGGAAAGAAAGATTCATTTGATGTAACCAGCTACTTCCACACCTCCACTGTCAGCTTTTCCTCTGCCAATGGATGTGTTCACACAGTACTAACAAAATTACTGCTGTTTTGCACAGCATGCCTTCCATCCAAAGATTTCTTGTTTACTGCTTATGTACATAAAACCCTTTATCTACAAGGTACTTAAAACGCTTTGAGCGTTGGTTTAAAGGCTGCATGCAATAAATACATTTAAGAGGACAAGCAAATTGAAAGTTCAGTTAAGCTGTGCCTACAAAAACATATTTTATGCTGCTTTATAGGTAGCTTTAGAACCTTTCCCATCCTGCTGTTTTATTATGATGAACTCTGCACAGTGGCAGTTTACTGTTGAAAAAGAAAATAATAAGGAAAAGTAATCCAGCATATTATAAATACTTCATATTTGGACAAACTCCCGATGAACAGAACAGATTTCTATATTTACATATTGGAAAGAAACTGTCTCTCTAATTTTGGGCTTCACAAACATTTATCCAGGGTAAACACCTGTAAAGAAAAACTGTAGGTATATTTCCAAAACTAAAAGCATGGGGACCAGTGCACCCCTAGTTAAAAGTAATTGGGAAAACGTATGAACCCACTTCTGTTTCCATTGATTTCAGTGGGATAAGAATCATGCCCTTCATGCCAAAGAGTTCATTCTACATTACAGAGAAAGTTTACAAAAGTATCTATGTGCTTTAACTTCCAGCTTCCATTATCTAGTGATTTAAGCAACTAAATATAAATAACTTTTGATAATTGAATTTAGAAGTTTAAGACAAATACAAAAAGGGGCTTAGGCACCTAAAAATAGGATCTATGCAGACACCTAAGTGCAGAAGAGATGCAAAAAAGAAAATCCCCACTCAGCTACGGCCTAATCCTGGAGCACCTCAAGTAATTTGGTAGCTTCCTGTTTGAACTGAAAATTCCTTTGACCCCTGTTCTGCACAGGGGGTGCCCAAGGCCAATCCTCCTTCATCTATTAGGTACCTAAGTATCATCTTATTCCACCCTTCTCAAGTCCCTAATGCACAAGGAAGGGTGTCCCTTCTGTTCCTTGCTACTTTCTAGTGGCTACCCAAAACCTTATGCAGATCCAGAAATTGGGCAAAGTGACAACTAAGTCCCCTAAGAGGCCTAATCTGGTACACGTGCTACAACCCCTGCCACACCAATCAGATTGGGCTCCTCCTAAACTGTTGTCATGCCTTCTTTTTTAAACACAGACAGGGCTGGTTACTACAATCCACCTTACATATAAATAGCACAGTAAAAGCACTTGCCCAGGAAGGGGAACATGGGCTCAGTTCCTCCCTCAGCCCAAGACTATTTAAACCAACATCACCCACTTCCCAGCGAAGTGCCCCAACACCCTGGGATAAGCTCGCCTGGGTGAAGGCACCCCTGTGAAGAACGGTATGGCATAGGACCGGGAGTGTAAGCAAAAGAAGTCCAACAGTTGCCTAGTAATTAAGGCCCTCTGCTCGGATGTGGGACTCCTCTGTCCTGGTTCCTGCCTCCAGGATTTCTTGCTCTTTTAGTCCCATGACTGTTTAATGCAAAATAACAATTCTTGGAAGTAGATGCATTTTATCATAGCTGCTTGGATGAAGTTCCCGACTGCCACTGGAAAAATCAACATCAAGTCTTTCAGATATTGTTCACGTGCTAGTACAGTTGATATTAATCAGCTGAAGGTCAAGTGTGCAGAGATCAGATTAATTTATCCATTTTATTTATGAAGGCAATTAAACAGCAAAAATATTCCAGAAAGTATTGATGTGATAAGATACTGACTTCCACATCTTCTGATTTCCTTTGGTAACTGTCATTTATTCAGCAATTTACATATTCTGTGTTCTTCTCTGTCTGTCAAAGTAACGTGCTACTAAGGCTGCTGGTTGCCAAAATTATTGTGCAATGGCATCTAATCCGTAGCCCCAAGAATCATGAGTCCGACCAGCAGCACCACCAGAGCTGTTGGGCATGGGGTTTAAACTCCCTGGCTTCCCCCACAAGGAGCTTCTTATCTCAAGGGCTCAGCAAACCTGGTGAGATTATATATATGGAACATTTTTATGCCTGGCTTGCCAGGTGCCTTAAATTGGGTGCATGTGTAGCACCACTGCCTTTTATGGCACAATTAACACACTGATCATGCCACTATATATGTAATATGTACCAGGGCCCTAGAAATACCCATTAAGTTTTTCTACAAAGCTACTCTAACCATCTCATTTAGATAAATATATTGAACAATTGAAATATTGGGGTTTATATCAAACAAATCATTTGCCATTTTGCATTTTAAATGGATACTGCTAAAAATGACTGTAACACTACAGATAGGCATGCATACAGTGTTCACAACATCAGCAGCACTTAAATGCACTGGGGGGGGGTTTCAGAAAAATTAAAAAAAATAAATAAAAAAAAATCAGTATGGCTTCCAATTCCTATGAATTCTAGTGGGGGGCGGGGACCCAAATGAAGGGTTTCAAGTAGAGTCAAATTTCAGATGGGATTTCAAAATGAAGAGCTTGATAATGCTAGACCATTTTAGCTGTAAGGATGCTAACTTGGATAGCCTGCCATATTTCCAAGCAAGTTACTGCATTCTCTCTCTCAACTCTTAGGAATTTCAGCAAAAAAGTTAAGAATATCTGTTTGCTAGTACTATGAGCTAGTGAAAAAATGACACCTTTTATACTAAAGTTAGCTCCATTTTGGTTGTGGATGTAGTGTTTATTAAATGTTTGTATTGGTAAAACTTTTTGGGATGAAAAGTATTAGATAACTATAGCAGGGAAATTATAACTAATATTTAAGTACATTTCAATATTTAAATACTTTCAGTGTGATTAACTTGTGAAGTCAGAATCCATCTAATCCAGGGAGCCAGATTCTGGTTCAGAGAAGTGAAGAACTTTGATAGTTCTACTGAACATCTGCTGCTGTTATAAAGCAGGCAAGAGTTTGACATAGCCCAGAATTTAACAGATGCAATACCAGATATAATGTCAGTTTGCATGGGTTCAATGGCAAAACTGCATATGGATTCTTCAGCAGCTTCTCAATGAAATCATCTGGCTTTCCATCACTGTATTTGCCACTCCGTAACTGTTTAAATAGTACACATTTTACCAAGAGTTACCCACTTACTCATCAAATATAGCAAACGAAGTAGCAACTGGATACTTCCTGATATTCAAAGGAGTCTTCTGTTTTAAGTTAACTTCTGCTAAACCAGTTTCTTCATTTATAGCAACTGCTGGTAACTGTACTGGAAAAGACATTTTGGCTGTTGTAATTCGCATTTTACACACAAAAGGAATTATTTATATAAACTCCTATACTCTAGTATCCACCAATCTGAGAACCTGCAACTCCTACTGATGGCAGGCCCCAAACTAATTAGTAGTGGATATCTGTTTTCTATAGATATTTATGAATTCTGCTGTTATGAGGCAAGGAAACAAGGATTTTTTTTCTTATTTGAACAACTGTACAGTTGGCAGAGATGTTCAACAAGGTTTTGACCACAAGTGCCCTTCTTTAGGTCTGGGCACTTATCTTAGCATAAAAATTAAATTTCAGAAAAAAATTCAGTCACTCTACTTCACAAGTACATTACTTACATCAGAAAGCATAAAATACTGGATTACAAATTTGACCATATTTTAAAATTCTAAATGTATTCCTTTTTTGCATCTTTCTACACTTTAAATTAGTACTTTGGACACGGTTCTATTTGTAACTATTTTTCCTATTAATCATTCTTAAAAGCAAAGATTTAATCGTACTAAAGTAGGTATATTCCTTAGCATTTTATTCCTCAGCAAGTTCCCGTTACAGAACAGATTATATTTTAAAACAACTTAACTTTTGAAAAAAAGTCTTTTCAGTTTCTAAAAACAAGAATACATTCTGTTTGTAATGCACATATGTAATTCTCCATTAATAATATACAACTTTTCCCAAATCAAAAAAGTTAAACACAAAATGTAACTTATTTAATAAAATCTTAGTTTGCCAACATTAGATATATAAAATGAATATACTGCCTTGTTAATATGTATTGTAGGGTTGTGTGAAGTGGGCAGTATTTGATTTGGATTTGGTCTAATTCGGGGGACAGCAATTCAGTTTGCTGATTTGGGTCACTGTCCTGATTCAATTTGGCCAAATCTGAATCTGAAGATTCGATTCTGATTTGGAGAATCAGTGACTCAGCCATAGATACAGCTTTATATGTTTTTTCTACATACCTCAAGGTACCAAGTGCAACTCATGAACAATGAAATGGTAGGGCAGATGGAGCGTCCCACAGGAGCGCAGGGGAGTCACCCATACACTCCGCAGCATACCTGGAAGTGGACTGGAAGTACTTACAAACATATAAAGCTGTGTCTATGACCAAATCATTGAATCTCTCTGAATTGAATCAGAGGCTTCTGATTTGATTCTGCGATAATGGGTCTTCTGACTCGGTTAGGATTTGGAGATTCAGCTGCCAAATCGGGTGACTCTCCCCCAAATCAAATCAGTGATGGAAGCTTCACACAGCCGTAATGTACTGATTATACTTTTACTTAGGACCAATGGTAGAAGATCCAGAATTCTGGCATAAAGAAAAACTCCATATGATACAATTAATTAACAGTCCTGTACAAAGTTAATACAATGGGCATAAAAATCATATATAAAGAAGATAGCCCATAGTTTGATCAATTATATTTATACAAATCAATGGCATTTAGTGTTATTTTTCTACTGTATTTATAGTTTCAGTAGTTCAATAAAAGGAGTTTTAATAGTGACCATGCAGTTCCTGAAATAATTAACTAGCAAACTGACAGTTCATTTTAAGTCAACTGATCACTAAACAGATTTATCCCAAAATTAGTATCAGCTTGTGATTTTTTATCTTTATATTACACTTACCATTTTTTAAAGCTGCTAACAAAGCAAACGTGCAGGCATCTAAAATGTTTCCATCATAGTCCAAGCATATGATATCACAGTATAGCACCCAAGCAAGCTAAGAAACAAAGTTTGCAGATTTAAGACAAGGATAGCCTTTGAACCCTTGGTACCACACTAACTCAGGCTACATACTAACACACATTAAGCTACCAAACCATCCTCTGATCTTTCAGCAGCAAAAGTTACATGCAATTATACATTATATATTTACTTCAGAAAAACTGCAGATGTTCTAAACAAAATGTTCTGTTTGCAAATAAACTGTTTGTTGCTGAATTGTGGACAAACTTATCAATGGAGATTGAGGTCAACCTCCACTGGAAAAGTCTGGGTAAGAAATTCACTTTATTTAAAAAATGTGCACGCATATGTACACAAACACGCACGCTTGTAGCTGTTAAGACACAATCCAAAAAACAAATATAGCCTGTTCATTCTACACTAGTGTGAATGTGCATGCATGTTTGATGGTGCAAATCTACCCTGCCTTCTGCCTGAAAAAAACATCACTATGATCCACTAAATTGTACAAACTTTGAGCACAGCAGGAAATACTTATAATGTAGTTTAAGAGACATGTGAATTGACAGATGGCTTGGGCACAAAAAGTCTGAACCACAGATAGATGGATCAAAAGTTGTAGCACAGACCCTTTCTTTATTCCACATCTCAAGACACTGTTATTGCTGGAACATCTTAGTATCAAGCAGGTCTAGTTATTAGACTAACCTGATTGCCTTTATGACCAAGTAACTAAATCCCTGGATGATGGTGTCACCGTGGACATAGTCTTTCTAGACTTTAAGAAGGCCTTTGACATTGTCTCTCACCCCATCCTCATCAATAAATTAAG